AGTGGTGAGAGAGTTGCCTGCATCTTGCAAATGCCGACGTTCTGATTGGCTAGAGCTGGATCCCGTGACCTCGTGCCCCCGTGACTCTCCATACAACATCCTTCACCAGCCTCTCCAAACGTCTCCAATCCCCAACGTCTCCACTCTCCACAATCAAGCCCATGTTATACACGGATTGACTGATGCATCTCCATACTGTACTGTGCTTGTACGTCAGGATAAACTACGTGCCGGTGCCACCTGTGTATAGTAGGCAACAGTGTGCCGCTTGCTAGCTCCCGTCATTCTACCGACCAATCACCGAACCAATGCTGTCTTTTCCCTCTTCTTCAGTATTGAAGCACTCTACTGGCTCGGTCTTATCTCGTCTGAATCCTAACACTTGTACAAACAAGCCTTGAATCCGGTGGATACACATGTGGACGTACTATCGTCCAATACACACTCAATGGCGTCTAGCAGCCGGCAACTCTTCAACAGAAGCCGCCACGATCCGGCAGCCTCTCCTCTTGCCACTTGGGGCTGTCAACAAATGCCATTTCCATGTCACACTGCGACTGCACACGCCACGCAGTACCTACACGTCAGCTCACAGTGGCCATGTTCGATTGCTAAGCCGTGAAGCAATGGCCCAGATCCTGTACTTCCTCTGGCATGCTGCCATATCCCCTGTAGTGCGGCAAAACGGGAAATTAGGCCCATGTTCACCTTGGTTCTTCCTCTAGGTACCTTCCTTTAACTACCGGTACTGGCAGCTGGCGTGTCATGGGATACAGTCTTGAGCAAACACCATGACACCAGATTGTGCAAGCAAAAACTGTATTGCCCGACTCGCCATGGCGACCAAGGTCTAGCATCTGCGCGGCTCTGCGGATGGCACGCGCAACCGTGGGTATTGTAAGGGGACGGGTGGAAAAACGGTCCAGAGGCCGTCCTGGTGAGGCAAGAGTGCGCGCGTCTTACTATTCTCATCGCGATTGCGCTGGCCACATTCGCGGCTGCGACTCGCATACCTTAGTCAGGAACATTTTCGACTGCTTGACATGTGCATTACCCCCGGGTATTCGTCCGAATCCGTCAACCAGACTTGGTTGTTTCAAGTGACTAGGGTTACGAATCGGACACGACATTCAGGGTCTCCTTTCTTCCCGGAGCCTACCAAGGCCTACGTCCTTGCTGCTGAATAGAGAAAAGCTTCTTGATTCAGGGCAGACCACGGCTTATTCGAAAAGTGCGGAACGTTGCCGATGCCGAAATCTCGACAATCTTTTGAACAAGAAACTTGGACGTCTGCAAAGGTCGCAGCAGAGCTCCACTCGTAACCCTCCGGATGTAACGACGCAAGTAGGTACGGTAGGAACGTCCGAAAGGGGTCCGATACGACTTAAAGGCATATGGGAGTACGCTTCTGTATCGAGATTGAACGAATTGATTCCTACACCCATAGGTCTTGTACAAATGGACAAGAAGAACTTGTCCATCCATCTATCAGCATCAGGCTCCTTTTATGTCTGGAGGCAGAGCGGACTCGGACCAGAGTCGGGGCGGTATCGGCACTGGGCCTGGGTTGCCTGCGCTGGTCTAGGATGGAACGAGGGTTGCACTCGTTACACCGGAGGAGCTATCCTGCCTTCGAAAATGGCCTTCTGGGATATGAATTTTGCTTGCAGAAGAAGTGTTATAATGCCCACGAACTATACACCAGACGGTGACATGGCCTGCTCAAAGTCTATCTTGTATATTAATGTATGCATTCTCACGGAAGTTACCTTGTCCCTCCCACAGCAATGAATCTTGAAACGAGGTACGCTGTGTAACCCTCCCGGCGCAATGGTTACGGTTGCATGAAGACAGACGGGGTTCCAAGCATCGGAGTATTTTCTGGTGCCAATCAAGACGCGGCACTTTCCATACCTCCCCCTCACATATCCATCTCGGTTGACCCTTTGTACTTTTGGCTGGCCTATGGCAGCCTGCAGATGTTGCCGCTTAAATACCGTTACCGTCACACGTACCCTCATCAGGAGATGGCATGCCGTCGGCACCTGTGAGCGCGGTTCGAGTCATGCTTGGCAACTGTAAACTATCGTCGGCCTACTCACATACCTGGCTCTCTTGATGCCCTAACGCTAACTCCTCTCGGATATTTAATCTGATGGTTGACGGATCGGGTAAATGTCCCTGCCGCAGATGTGATTGTGTGTTTCTCGCCACTGGATACGTCTACAGAGCCGCTTTGGCGTGCGTACCACATTACAACTGAGCATGTTTGCGGGCGTTGGACCGTCCCCCTATATTAAACCTGACATTAAATGGTGGAGCTAATTCACAGGAGTAGTCCTGGAATAGGGAATTCAAGTCCGTTGGCGAACACTTGGTACATGTTCAAGCTGCCATTCTTCAGTGCCAAAGGGACTAATTACATATGACTCGTCTGATGCTTTGCTTTAAAAGCCCATTCCTTTCTCCCCATTTTCCTCTGAACCTTCAGTATCTTGAGGATCAACACATTCTCACATTCTCACATTCTCACTCTAAACAGAGAAGTACATGTATAAGTCAGAGTGAGCAGCTCTGCCTAACAAGGGGACCACCACCACCACCACCACCACCATGCATACTCCCACCATCCTCTCGCTGCTCCTCGCCGCCACCACTACCTCTGCACAAAACCGACCACCAGTCCGACCCCCCTTCCCCAACATCACAGACCTCCCCACCCGCTATGGCCTCGTCCTATTCCCCCAATTCCAAGCCCTCGACGTCTTCGGGCCCATGGACGTCCTCAACACAATCGACATGCACTTCAGCAACTACACCAACATGAACCTCACCATCTTGGCCAAGACACTAGACCCCGTCACAACAGCACGACAAGGACCCCAAGGAACCATTGGCCGCTTTGGCGAGAGCATCGTCCCTACTACCACTTTCTCCGACTACCTGGCCAGAAATTCGAGCGCCGACGGCATCGAGGTCTTGCTCGTGCCTGGTGGTTTGGGCACGCGACGTGATGTGACCGAGGAGATCAACTTTGTCAGGGCGGTTTATCCAAATGTATGTCTCTATCTATTCTCTTCTTCCCCCCCCCCCCTTGCACTCCCTCCCCTCTTCTTTCCACCCACCCTCCTCCCCTCTTCTTTCCACCCACCCTCCTCCCCTCTTCTTTCCACCCACCCACCCGTCCCTCTCACTCTCCCCCAAACCGGAATCTCGACAATCACACCTAACACCCCACCTAGCTCCGCTACATCCTCTCCGTCTGCACCGGCGCCACGGTCCTCGCCCGCGCCGGCGTCCTCGACGGCCGCCGCGCAACCACTAACAAAGCAGAGTGGGTCGCCGCCACCGCCATGGGTCCCAACACCACTTGGGTGCCGCGCGCGCGCTGG